AATTAGAATGAATAGCTCATTATTATACATGTAGTCAATCTTTTACTTTGACAAGAATTACTTTCGTAAATTAGAGAAAACCTAAAAAGTATTACAAAAAACATTGCAAGTACTTTTTGGTTTGTATGAATCACATGCAAATTTTTTTTTTCTACGCTTGATTTGTTTAATTTGATTCTATAGTACGATGTTAGAATTTAATTTTGATTCTATGGGGAAAAACGACATTCATTATTATTCTTTTAATAATTTGTCATGTTGGATGATGAAAAATGACAACGAAATGTTACAAACGGTTCACCGTATAATTCAAAATAAAAATCGACAGTAAAAAGGTTAGAATAGATAATTAGTATCACAATAGAATTGCATGGTGAAGAAATATATATCAATCAACTACAGATACAGTATGGTTGTTAGTCTTTGTAGAGATATTTGGTACACTATCTGATAATGTTACTTGTCATTAATTGCAGAGCGTATTAACTTATATAGTGAAAAGTGATGTGAGAAAGAAAAAAGATATGATAGTTTAATAACTATATACTACATTTTCGATTCAAAATTATTAATTTATCCTTGCGATGAAGTTTAAAACTTCGATAACCTTGAATATCCATGTCACAGACAATGAAAAGAATTTGACTCATTACGTCATGTGTTAGATGCCAACAATCATATTGAGATACAGTTTATTCTATTCACCAAAGGTAGAGACAGTATACATTACTTTTTCTTCAGATAAACAAATAAGATCTAATAAATAAAATATATTCACTAGCTAATACGTCCCTATAATATGTACATATTCCTAGTTAAATACGTAAATTATTTACTTTTTTGCTAGCAAATGATAAAGAGCGTATCTCTTTTTTTGCTGACGCATAAATATTCATAGAAGCATTCACCTTCTGAATAAGAAGGGAACATTGTACTTCATTGTACGTTCAACTTGGACCAGTTCCTGAGCTGCTTATCTTAATAAAAGACCAGCTACCGTCACGATTTAATTGGTTAATATTAACAGTTCTCGAGTCACTTAACCGTTAATACGAAGTTTTAATGTTTCTGCTCGTAATTATGTAGCTTAAACTTATGTGATAGAGATGATAACAACAGTATTCCAAGAATATAACTAAATTTGATATAACTCGACTGAATATTTTTCGAAGTTGAAAAATATGAATCTGTAAGAAGTTTGTCGAACATTCTGAATGTGATTTTTCTAGTCACGGGAGGTCTATTTTCGATGCTTTAGTCAAGTTTTATAAAAGATAATTATTTTTTTGAGATTAAAATGTCCTACTACAGGGAGCGTCAAATAAGAGAAGGATCTGTATCATTTGTTACCAACTAAGTGCATAACTCGCGTTTCTAACTAAATATATGTACGTATTATATTTATATATTTACTTTAGACAAGCAAATAGTAAACATTTTATTATAGTCGACTTAGTTTGACTAACCTTTCAAATGCTAATACTATGAAATAATTATTTCGACTTCGATATTTCTTATTTCAACTAGTACTGACTGGTCTCATTATCGTATCATCAAAATAGACACTTGCAGAAAGTGAACAAACAACTTCGTTTCGCTTTCTTGCCATTCCAACCTGTTTTTTTATATTTGTAGTATATTTTCTTTCGTTGTTGTTATATCTTAATTCTCTTAAGAGATGCTGTTTTTGACTTTTCAACATAATTGATTGGATCTTTTTTTTAATTATAATTAGTTAATAATCACGATAATGACAGATAGATGTTTTTAGGAAAGCACTGGAGGCCTATTGAAATGTTTAGATTTCTTTCACGAGTTTTAAAAATTTTAACTTCGACGTAAATAAGTAATCTATATGTCGAACCGATTAATGATTATCAATTACATCAATTCTTTTCTTTCTTCTTACTACGATCAATAGCAAAAAATATTACTCGTCAAGGTTCTCGTTCATGGTGTTTGGAATGAGTGAGGAACCAATGATTATAGTTTATAATTTTGGAATAGTTTCGAATATATATATTTTCTGACAAACATAAACAGAATCTCTGCACTATAAATACGTAGCAGTCATATTCCTTACATGTTTTCGCATAGTCTTCTTTTCAAGTCTTTTATTAAATAATATCTTAGAGAAAAAAGAGAAACTTTCAAGCTCCTATATTATTTAACTGCTAGTTCAAATGACAACCTAACTTTTCTAGCTTTTGTTTTATCGTGTATAAATGACTTATCACTTGGAATTTATTTTTACGATTTTTGGAGAGTGAAGCCAAACCCTTCATAGAATTTTGAATTTAAGAAATTTAACCGAATCTAATGCAAATTTTAAGATTACTTTTGAAAATTTGCATTCAACAAAGTCTGCATGATTTATTATCTGAACAGCGCAATAGATAAACGAGACAACTTAGGAACTTCTGTGAATTAGCACTGAAGTAACAAATATGCATTAAATTTTTGTTGGATCTTCTAAATTTTGTTAACTAGCGAACTAAAACTCCAGAACCCCTGAAAAAATTTGACTGAAATCGAAATGATGAAAACCACAAATTTTGGGTGTGCGTATGGATGTTTGAGTGCAGCTCTCCTGTTAAGTCATACGAACGCCCATATCGACATCTACACTCATTCGCACTGATAGGCATGGTGTCAGTGCTCGGTAGGTTTCCAGATTTCTGTCGTGCTTTGAATTCGGATCCGATAGAACTTGTGTTCACTGGTATGCACTGGTCAACGGGCAAGAGTTTCTCGAGTTCACTGTCGCCTATTGCTTTGCGGCTGAACTTCGTTCACTCATACATTTTGTGTTGATGCATGAAAGAACACTGGTTGTCTATAGCCTTATCCACAAGTTTTGCGGTGGAAAGATTTTCGGCTTCACTGCTAAACATTTCTATGTTACGCAACGATTTTATCGCCGCTGTTAACGATCCACTCATCCTTATCGACGGACAAATTTTCGAAATATGAAAGCATTGTCTTAACTCCTTATTTTATGAAATGACCAGTAACATTATCTTGATAATTCGATCTCAATATCGAAAATCACAAAAAGTCATCAATAGAATAGGACACAAACATAGAAAGCTGATCATATGAAATGCAGACAAAATTCTAGAATAAAAAACAATAAAATTAATAAACATCTGTGCGATGGATGTAGAAAAGTAAACTGAGTAGACCTCCGCTGGAGAAAAAGTCATCAATCGATCAGATAAATGGAAGCCCATCATGGCTATCGATTTCATTTGTCTCAATTCTTTGTAATTAATATTCTACTCATACATCCGTTATGCATATGACGTTTAGAAAACTCGAAGATCTGTTTAGAGATCATCGCAATCAGTTACTTACCAGGATGCAATAATCAAAATAATATATTCCAACAAAATTTGAATGAAAATAGTTTGCAACTTGGTTGAATTTTATGCATGCGAGACATGTCGTTTGTTTATCAAAGGGCTTCTTTTGTTACTTGTGCAGTATAAAACGGCTTTTTTTTTTCTTCTTTCTCCCTTGATCTTTTTTCGTTCTTTTGAAATTTTTGTCAATCACGCGCTGTCTTGACAAGCACTGCTCATGTCAACAGTCTAATATTCAATACGGAGAGGAGACAAACAATGATGGCAAGCAAAAAAAAAACATATTCGTAAAAGAAAATACATTTTCAACGGACTACACGCATCAATATTCATTTGTATATGATGTAAAGTGGCTGGCATTGTTCAATAACAGACTATAGCAAACAATGATAGGTTTCCTTCAGTATCAATTAAAGAGATGAAACTTACATTAGTATGAAGTTGAGACAAATTTTCAGAGAAATTATATGAAAATTGATAATTTTCAATATAGTAATTATTCTTTGAATTGCATAAATATTTTAGAAAATCAGATGATATTCATCTTATTTTTCCAAAACAAGAAAGAAAAAAACTGGAAAACTTTTTGCTTGAGGTTTATTTGAACATGAACTTCGGAAAAGTAATTTATATTACGAAAAGAGTATTTTTAAAAAAATCGATTTAATTATTTTGCAACATAATGTATAGGAGAACAATTCATATTTCAAGATAATCCAAAATGAATAAAATAAATCGAAATTGAAGACATATTGTTCTAAATTCTACTGAGTTTAACTGAAATCTTATTGTACGCACTCTGTTAGCTGCTGGAGAATAAGAAGAGGTTTTTTAATGCAAGTAGCAATATAGACGTATCCTGCAATTTTTTCTTTCGGTGTTGTTTCAAAATCAAAAGAAGCTGATTTGGATGAAATCGAGATTGAAGCGAAACATGAACGATTTTTTCATACGTCAAACAGACAGATATAGCTACATGTAGAAATCGAATACAAATTTATTTCATTTGGCCTAAATTTCTCATCATGTATCGTTGTCATTGTGTATTATCATCATCAAATGCATTTTTTTTCTCCTGTGATTATCATATACTAATTAGGATTTAACTTTTGAACTAATTAATCTATATCATAATTCATATAAATAGTCATTTTCTTTTAGACATATAAGAGGTTCATGTTGATTTAGGGTGTGGGGTATGGGTGTGAGTGTGGGTGTGGGGATTGAGTGTTTGATGAGATGAATGACAAACACCCACACCATTTATAGATAATCAATTAAATAAGACATTTATATTTGATTTTCTAAATAAATGAGAATGAGAACAATTAAATAATATTAGTTAATAATCATATTTATTAAAGAACAAATTTTTCAAAGAAGATCCATTTAAAATATGAACTTTCTTTGAATATTTTTAATAAAAATACAATAAAACAAAATATTTTTCTTTGATCAATATTAATTCAAAAAGAAAAGAAAATGTTGATTATTCAAAAAAAACACAAGTGAAGTGAATAAATCTTATGATAATGTATTTTTCTTACATTGAAAGCACTTTTTTTCCACATAAATATTGATCATAAAAGTCAAGTGATCGAAACGGAACCATGGTAACCATAACCATGTTCGTAATCAAATCGGTAAAAACTTTGATTTGTATCTCTGAAGAATATTGATTAGAATAATTAAGATAATAATCAATACTATTGAACCAAGAACACCAGCAAAAACACGCCTAATACATAAAATCAATATAATAATATTAAATCTATTATTCAATTTACCATCGAGCAAGAGAAAGACCAAAAACAATCAAAGAGATAAGAAAGAATGAAGAGATTATATAAAGAACAGCAAACCATCGATATTTAGCCGTTATTTCACCTAATTTTTTAGTCATTGGAATTGAAAATCCCATGAATGGTATTGGAAACCAAATTAAAATTTCTTTTAATTATTCATATATAGAATATTAAATATAAATATTGAAGACATATCTTACCAATAATATTGAAAAAAATATGACAAAATGTTATTTGTAATGGATTTCTGAAATCTTTCTCACTAATTACAGTTAATACAGCCATAATACCAGTTATTGTTGTACTTATATTTGAACCTAATGTAAATGGATAAACTCTCTCAATTATTATTATATCAAGACCAACTAATGGTGTTAATGTTGATGTAAATATTGAACTACTTTGAACTAATATTGTTAATATACATCCAACCTATTTCAATTAAATATATCAATTTTATATTAATTAAAAAATTGTTTCTTGCATGAATAGCTAAATATGGTGTTAGATGTTTAAATATTCCTAGAAAATCTTTGTTAACTACTTTAAAAATAATATTTCTCACTATTCCTTTAAGTAATGATTGAAGAATTTTAACAAGTAATAAAAGACAAAGACAAATTATTGAACTAATCAATAAAACAAGTCCAATAAGCCAATCAGCCCATTGAACTTTAACAAATAAGAATGAACAATATGTATCTGAAACTTGAATAAATGTATCATTATAAGTTTCATTTTTAAATGAACAATATCTTTTTAATAAAGATATATTTGAACTAGCATTACTCAGTGCTATACTTGGAATTGCTTTTTTTTTATCAAGCTAATAAACAACAAAAATTCATTTGTATTAGAAAATTTTATCTAAAATAACATATTTGAACAATTCGTTCTGTTAATGATTTTGCTATAACAGTAAGAAACTGGGGATTAGAATTGGGATTTCGTTTTAAGTTTATTGATTTTATTATTGAGTTAGTTAAATGATATAACACATCTAAATTTTTTTTTCAATTAAAATATATTCAAAAATATAAATCTTTATTTACTTGAAACTATTTCAATTGATAATAAAAATAAGTAGTGTTAACCAATTAAACATATCATGAACAGTTGCACCACCAAATGCAAGACAAAATTCTTCACATTTTCCCCAAAACAAAACAAAATAAATTTTGATTTAGTCTTGTTAATGAAAAAATACAAACTGATTGTGTTAAAGCAACTAATGTATTGGTTACAGATGTACGTTTTAAATAGAAATAGATATTGAATGTTTATCTCTGATGAGCATTTATTAATAGAATATACCTATGTTTGCTCCTAAAAGAAATAATAGAAATAATAAATTTTATTTAGATTTATTTAAATTTGATTTTATCCACAATGATTGGTATTGCTCGTTTAACAGGCAAAACTAAGATATTTTTTAAAATTAAAATATTACTTGTAAATGAATGAGAACTCACTGAAAGATGAAACCATTGATATAACAATTGATGTTGATATTGATGAACTTTGAACAAGAACTGTTATTAATAAACCAATCATTAATTCAGCAATAGGATTTGAAAGAATTGTTCCTTCAGCAAAAAATTTACCTGTTATCATACCTAATGAAAAATATTTATTAATAAAGAATTTTTTTTTTGTTTTGAAAATAATGTTTAACCTTCAATAAGTCGAAAAGTTGAACTCATTAAATCAAGTGAACAAACAAATAAATATAATAAAGCAAGTTAACACAATTAATCTTAATATTGAGATAATGATGAATTTAATCCGAGGTTTGCTATTCATATCTAATTGAACAAAATAGATTGAGAAAACAATAAATTGTTTTCAGTAACTTTCCATTTGTGATTCTCATTAGGATTTTCAGCTTGAGAAAGATTGTTACGATTGAAAATTTTGTTAGATTTAGCTCTCATTTTTATTTTAATATTAATATAAAAATAATTTTCGTTTCTTTATATAATTTTCTTAAGACTTGAGAAGTCATGATGAATTTTATTGACTAATTTGAATATCATCAATTGATCACGCATATTACGCATGTGTTTCTTCCTCGTTCTAAATACACATTTTTTTGTAACTGATAAGAGTTATTCAAACATATGACAAAATTACTTCTAACATCAAGCATATCTACTTTTCTTTATTAAAATAGTTAACAACAATGCTTGAAAAGTTTTCTATTTTTTTATGATATTCAAGTACGAAGTGTGAGTGTGAGTTTGGGTGTAACTGTAGGTCTTTTACTCAATGGCATCCACACCCACACCCAAGATATGCATATTGACATGCTCATTTTAATTTAGTAATGTTTTCAATTACAGTCTTTATTTTTATCATTAGCTAAACTTATTTGACAAGCATACTGATTCATAAATTTAGAAATTTGTTGAAGAACAATATCAATTCGCTGAAATTTATATTCTAATGTGAAATCTTTTCCACAATATTTGAAGATCATTGGATATCTTTATGAAATAAACCTTGATTGTCAAACTAATGACAATATTTAAAGCCAAACAGTTAATATTGAATAAAGGCAGAGTACTCTCACAAAGTGATGTGAATTCTTTTGTTGAAATCTTCAAAATTTCTACAGAAGAGAAAAGTTCATTGTAACGAGAATCCAAACATTTTTAATTATATTTGATTTTTTATTGAGAAAGTGTCTTTTAAAAAGTATTTCAATAGATGATTAGATTTGTTCGTATGTTCCACTTTCAACAACTAACAACACGAAAAAAGTAATGCGCCTTTATTAGAGTCTTCACAAATCAATTTTCCAATGTTAGTTTTGACATGGAGACGTTTTATATGAGTTTCTAGAAAATTGAACAAGGAATATAATGATTAAAAATTCAACGCCAACGATCAAATATTAACGAAGATATTTATAAAATAGCTGAAAAGTACATATATCAGCAGTGTCACATACCCAAAAAATCAGGAATGCTGGAGCAGTAGAGAGAAATCTAGGATATGTTAAACTAAACATGTTGATCTCACGGAAACTTCTGCATTAAATTTTGTTAAAAATGGTTCCAAAATAATTACTCAGAATAAAAAAAAGTTAAAAGAAAAACATCGCAATATTCTTGAAGAATTCTGTAAAGAATAAAATTCGTTTTTTTATGATGCAAAATAAATCGTCACTTTATCGTCATTAAATTTATTTTGCTATATTTTTACTAAAATTATCTTGAAGTTATACGTTTTGTCATTACAATTTCAGAACTTGAAGTATACAACATTTCATCATTCAAATATTTTTTTTTTCATTATTCATTTGCTTTTCATATTTTTCTACACAACCATGAATATCAACAATGATTATCTACTCGCGCTTTTCGTTTTTTACATCGACAACAAAAAGAAAAGGTTTCATATTATCACGTTTCATGTGAAACAAAAAGTGGCAAAAAACAATATAAATTGTCTTGTTTGTTTTTTTTTTTCTTTTGATAATAAATATAAAAAGACGATTGTTTTTCATCGATGAACAATTCATTCAATTAATCAATGCGAAATATTTCGGTAATGTCTAATTAATAAAATAAGAAACAATAAAAAGCAAAGTAGATTTACATGATCGATTCTGTTTTAATGTTACACAACTTGATTATACTGATTTTCTTATTACGCGATATTTATATTTCAATCAATAACTTATTATTCGATGTTTTTCTTTTTATTTTATAGAAAAAAAACTTTTCTAAAACTTCATTCAGGTTGTTATCTACAAATTGACTTGAACTTTGTCGTTCTTATAAAAATAATTTCAATCAAATTTATTCAATGACTTTTACCTTATATGAAATGCACTACTCACAATAAACTATGTGGAAAGTATTTCAATAATTGTCTATACAAATCCTGTGAAATTCTACAATATAATCTAATCAATTATTTTGTTCAATCTGAATAAGAAATCTACTATTCATCTATCTACCAAGACTTTCTTATGAAAACTAAATTAGTTTTTTCAAATTATTGTCAATAACCAAGATAAAGTTTATCATTTCAATATCAAACTAGATTTTCTCATTTGTTTTAGAAAGATCAAGATTAATGTCTTGATAATTAAAATCAAATTAAATCTTGTACAAATATCAATGATTTTGCTCAATATTTATGTCACTATTTATTTTTAGGCTAAATCACATTTATTTTTCTAGGACAATTTTGAAAATCTAATTATTTAATTAGATTCGGTAATGCATAAGAAAAATTTTTCGCATAAGTCGATATTATTTTGAGTTTGGTGGAAAGCGACATTATATCATCTTTCAACGTTCAACATTTTCACTATTTTCACATATTCTCAACAAATAGTTCAATTGAAGAAATATTTCATCGAAAATAATCGACATGAATAATTTGTATTCATCAAAAAATCTAGAGCGTGAATGTGGATGTTGACCTGGGCTTGAGTGTCGAAAGTCTGGAAACAACAACATTAAAATCAACCACACCCACCTACACAACCTAAAATTCGATACTGAAATAGTGAGATCTCATGATGAACTTCTTGATCAATTCAAAAGTTAGAAAATCAAATTATTTATCATTGGATCTTTTCGATCAAATTGAACGATGATAAAAACCACAATCAGTAAAGTAAAAAATACTAGTAGAAGAGCTCAACATGAACTTATCGAGCTAATCGACAAACAATAAATAACAATAATAAAAAAACTTGAATCAATCACAAAAGAAATTCACTGTCTTCGAGAAGAACAAAATTTTACTGAAGATGATATTGATGAGCTTAGGCAAAAAGTCAAGGAAATCTAACAAAAACTTGAACAATTTATTGGAAAAGATACTACGAAAACAATCATTGTTGAGAATAATTAAATTGATTTGAATCGACTCATCTACATTCAAGAACAACAAAAGTGAATATTTTGAACTAAAATTATAGAAGGAAAGAAATTCTCCAACAGTTCAACCGAATATTGTTCGTCATTGAATCACACTTTCTCTTTTCATTAATTCATCTAAATTAATTCCTTCATAAATGAGAATGACTTGGTGAAAGACCGTGTGTAAGAAAATTGAATAAAATACCGTTCGAAACTTTAGTTTTGACACAACTGGAATTTTTTTTCATCCAAAATGAAACATTTAACTTTCTGAAATTTCATGTCTATGGTGTGGCTGTGAGTCTGGGTGTGATAAGATAAATGACTAATTCGAAATCTCACACATCCACACAGACACTAGTCCACATCTTGCTCATAATCAATCATCATGGGAAAAGAACGATCGTCTTGTAAAGGTTTCACACATTGTGTATGTTGTGCTAGTATAGTGAAGCCTAAGGAAATACGTAAGTTCCACATTTTAGTCCCAAAGAGGCTGCGCTAACAAACTTTTCGTTGTATTTTATTTTATTGTGTTTTATTTATATTTTACTATTATTTTAAATTTATAATTCAACAATTGAATTTAATAAAATGTTAAAATAAAATAGATTTAAGGTGTTAATTTGCAACTAGTTTCATGATTGAAAGAAAATAGGTAGAGAGAGATGAGAACGGACGGGGGTTAACACAAGATCTGATGTTTAGATATAAATTTCACAGGATTCCATCAGAATTGATACCTCACAACTTCCTATCGGAATTCAATATCAAAGATTCCAACAATTTTCGACAGGGATTCTGTCGGAAATTACCAAATTCTCCGTCAAAATTTATCGGATTACACATGATGTCCTACAGTATCTGATGGGATCCGAGTTCGAGATTTCTCGCCCTAAGTATGTGAGTTCCACAAAAAAATCCTTCGTTATACTAATCAACATAAAAGAAATCTGATACTTTTAGATCTGTCTTACAGATAATACTAAAACAAGAGACTGAATATTTATCCTAAATTTCGTAAAAAAAATGGATAAATGTAAGTTATGTAATTGTAATGATTTTCCTTTATTAATTGAAAAGAAAAAAAAACATCGATCATTTACATTCGTTCATTTCAATTTCTTTCTATAGTACTTCCTCATACTTTTCCTACTTTCAAAAGTACTTAACAGTACTTTTTAGTCAAAAAGTATGAAAAGTACTTAAAAAGGTTCACTTATAAGTACTTGGCCCTGCTTAAAACCTACTATTGAAAGTACTTAATAGTCACTTTTTTGAATAAAATTTTTTACATGGGTAGTTCATGGAATAAACTCACATTGTCAATATGATAGCTAAATGCATTAGATAAATGAACTAGTTTTACTGTTCATCTTATTATGATAGAAAAAGCTAGAATGTCAAAAATATCGGTAAATTTATTAAATCAAATAAGTTACTTTTTGATCTTTTATCATAGAATGATTTAAAGTAGAACTTCATTTTTAAATTTTATTTTGAAATAAATCTTATATTTTCTATTTTAGAAGATGATTGTAGAAACAAGTGATGAATCTGCTGCTCATGAGAAACTCTTGAGAATACGACAACAAAGAAGATCATATACGAAAGTTTAGAATAATCTCATTTCTGGTTATAAATTTTGAGAAAACATTTTTCAAATGTTCATTGTTATGTCTTGTTATATTTCTCTGTACAAATTTTTAAACATATTGAAAATGTTTTTTTTAAACTGTACATAATCAAATAAATAAATAAAAGACAACTTTGTTGAAAACATTATCTGTGAAGCTGTATTTTGCATTTCTTGAAAATAT